GAAGCGTCTGAGACTGTGGGAGGAGAATGGCTCTGGCCAATTGGTTCACAATTAGATTATGCTTCTATTTAACTGTTGGATGAGAATGCCACGCACTTGGGGTGCAAATCACTCAAGCTGATTAATTCAACCCCTTATTTGTTCCAAAAGCAAGTCTTGCCATTACAATTACTATTAAAGTAAGAAATAACTGACATAGTGAAAGAAATACTGCCCCGTTACCTTCTCCTGGGGCATAGGCAGGTCATGATGCATTTCACCTATGATGCTCTAACTACCCCTTACAATGCCTTACGTATTATACACATCCAGATTATATGTATATTAGTTCTTTTCCAAAGCCAAGTCAGGCAGTATAAACGCGCAATCTCAGTTTGTCCAAACTTACGCATAAGAAATGACCCTTGCACCAATTCTCAAAACTTAACCTAATAACTAGTGGAAAGCAGACACTTTGAGCAGATGTAGCAGAGGCCCAGGCATCAGGATGTCTCCCATTAATTCATGACTTACCAAAGGTCACAGCATTAAAGCTCACGATCAGCAAAATGGCCAAATTTGGGGCACCTGAGTTTCTCTCCCAACGAGAGAGCTGCAGGGCAGGTGCTCCAGAGCTGTGCAGCCTCCACAGCTGCAGGTGGAGTCAGTGGAGCTGCAGGTGCCCAAACCCCTCTGAGAACCAGGCCCCAGGTGCTTAAAGGTCAGCGCCCAAAATCTAGAACCTAATTTAAAGACCACTTCTTAAAGCTGGACCCAGCCCATCACTGTGCTCTGGCCCCGTACGGCAACTAGTCTGGGCACAGGGAAGGAGAAAGCCCCTCCCCCACGGTGAGGGATCCCTCCAGCACAGGAGCCTCTTGTGCCTCCTCCCCAGCAGCTGCAGGCACAAGGCGTGTTCCTGAGAGGGCTGGGAATGGGGTGGGGGAGGGGGGAGGGCGGGTGGAAGAGGGAGGGGGGTGGACGAGGGACAGAGGGACATGGGCAGTGTAAAGCTGGGCCTCTGACACTCTGCACACTGGGCAAGACACCTGGGGCCCATTGTCATAGGGATGTAACTCTGGCTGCTTCAGAACTTCCTCAGCCTGTGCCAAGGTCTGCACCGGCCCCTGCAGCCACTGAACAGCAGAGTCACAAATGGCCCCTCCCCTCTCTCCTTTAGCCGGTACAGGGGTGAATCTGGCCCATGGAGCCAACCTTCCCCTGCCTCAATTTCCACATGGATAAAATGATTTTTTTATTATTCCTATTTCTGCCTATGGAGGACGAGGCCCCATCGTGCTGCTCTCTGTAGAGACGCCGAGTAAACAGACCCAACAGCTCACAAATAGAGTCAGGATTTTGCACACTCTCAATATCCTGTTAGTGTCAAAGGGACCAAAGTGGGTAAAATTACTTTTATGCCAAAGTCTTTGCATGATCTGGGTCTAGGTTATGACAAAAGGCAGTAAGTGAACGAGATAAACCAATGGGAGTGTGAAGGGTGGGAGGGGATGATGAGGAAAAAGTGGATCGCATTTACAGATTGCCCGTCCTGGGATGGTTGTGAGGCTGCAAGGATGTTGGTTCCATTGCTGGGAGATGCCTGAATAAGAGAGGAAATAGAAGGTTTCAGACCTTTTTATATTAAATACCTGCGTGTCTCTCTGTCTGTTTCTCTGTCATGATGAAAACACAGGTCTAGGAGTTCAGAGTGGTGATGCTGTTATAATATGAAAGCCTGAAATCTCACCTCTCTTATCCTTTCCCCTCCAGACACTCTGCCGTTTGCACTGGAGACAAAAACAGGGGAACTCCTAGGAGCTCACAGACAGGGTGAGTTTGCAGGTGGAGATTGTCTTTAAATTATGAGAAAATTCCAGTGAAAAAATCTTCATGAGATTGTAGCTAAAGTTACCAACCAAACCAACAGCAACCATGACACACAGCCCTACAAATAACACATTAAACAGTGAGGAGATCCAGGGGCACTGAAACAGGGGGGACCAGAGGGCCAGGCCATACCACTTTTAAAAGTGGGATGGTCAGGCCCCCGCCCCTACTTTTTAACATGGGCATAGTTTGGGGGCAGGCAGTGAAGGATTTAGAGTTAGTGGGGCCCTGTGTGCAGCTTCATTTTGGCCCCCATCCCTCGGGACCCAGCCAAGAAAAAGAACATTCTCTCTTATCTCTCCCCCTCCCCGTTTTTCATTCTTTTTTCCTTCATCCTCCTCCTATATTATAAGTAATAGGAAGTAAATGAAAATAAAGGGAGGTACCTTGATTGGGGCAGGGGGTTGGGGTGCAGGAGCGGGTGTGGGGGTTGGGCTCTGGGAGGGAGTTTGAGTGTGGGCTCTTGGCTGGGGCAGGGGGTTGGGGTGCAGGAGCGGGTGTGGGGGTTGGGCTCTGGTAGGGAGTTTGAGTGTGGGCTCTTGGCTGGGGCAGGGGGTTGGGGTGCGGGAGGGGGTCAGGGGGGCAGCGCTTATCTTGGGCGACGCGGCACACTCCCCTGGCAGTGGCTCCTTGGCAGGGGGGCAGGGGGTCTCTGTGCGCCACTGCCGGCAGGCGCCACCCCTGCAGCTCCCATTGGCCGCAATTCCCGGCCAATGGGAGCTGCGGAGTTGGCGCTTGGGGCGGGGGCAATGCACGGATACACCTCCCTCCCCCAGGGTCCGCAGGGATATGCTGGACACTTCTGGAAGCAGTGCAGCGTGGAAGGAGGGAGGCAGAGCAGGCAGGGAGCCGCCTTAGCCCTGCTGCACTGCTGATGGCACATCTCTGCACGCCCCTTGGGGGCAGGAGGGCAGGGGATCAGGCAGCGCGTGTAGCCGCCTTCCCCCTCCCCACACTCCCCCTGCCAGGGGGACGCAGAGACGTGCCAGGAGGTGGCCACTTCCGGGAGCAGCATGGGGCCACTGGCCACAGCATGCAGGCAGCCTGCCTGCCTGCGCCCTGCTGAGCTGCTGCATTTTGGGGGCCCCTCTGTCATTGGGGGCCCCGTGCCACCGCATGGTGTGTTTAATGGTAAATCCACTCCAGGGGGCAGGGGACCAAGTTGCCCCCCCAAACTGCAAGCCTTGGACAGGCCTGGAGCCAGGGCCATCCCTAGCCAGTCTGGGGTTCTACGCAGCCCCCCCTCGGCCTCCATGGGGGGGGCTGACTTGGGGGACAAGGGGGAACCGCCCCCCAGCACTCACCAGTGGCGTGGCTCGAGCCGGGTTGCTGCACTTCCTACCCCTGGTGAGTGCAGGCCCGACCCTGCTGCGGTCCTCAGGGGAGGGGGGTGGGACTGGGGTGGAGCAGGGGCTTTGGGGAAGGGGTGGAATGGGGGCGGGGCAGAGGTGGGAAGAGGCAGGGTGTGGGCGGAGCAGGGGTGGGAAGGGCGGGGCTGGGGGCAGAGAAGGGGCGGGGGCTTTGGGGAAGGGGTGGAGTGGGGGTGGGGCTGGGGCGGAGCAGAGATGGGAAGAGGTGGAGCAGGGGCGGGGGCCATGGGAAAGAGGTGGAGCAGGGGCTGGAGCAGCACTCAGCTACGTACTTTGCATGTGGATAGGGACGGTCCTGCCCGGAGCTTCGCAGACAGTTTCTGTGCTTCGTGGTATGGCAGCTGATCAGCTTCCCCCATGAAGCACAGAGCCTGCCCGTGGCGCCAGCCTCTTCCTGGTCCTGGCCCCTCTCATTGGCTCCACCCCTGCTCCTCTTCCCCCAAGGCCCTGCCCCCTGGTCAGGCCACAAGCTAGAGCTGGGCTCTCACCCAGGGAGCCCGGGACACACTGGGGAGCCCTGGACACAGTGGTGAGCTGGAGCCGGCTTCCACCGGTTCCCGGGAAATGGTTGTTAAATTTAAAAGCCCTTTTAGAACTGGTTGTTCCGGGACAACCGGTTCTAAAAGGGCTTTTAAATTTAACAAAAGCTCCATCGGCTCCCTGCCCTGCCCCCGGCCCCAGCTCACCTGGCTCCGGCTCCGCCTCTGCCTCCTCCCCTGAAGGCTCCCGCTCCCGGCTTCCCGCGAATCAGCTGTTCGCGTGGGAAGCCTGATAGGGCTGAGAAGGAAGCAGCAGGTTCCTGCAGGTAAGCGTGGGGGGGGGCGCGGAGGAGGGACTCCTGCAGCGCAGCTCCGGGCCAGACCCCCGGCCCAACTCCGAGCCAGCCAG